TATGACAGGTGTATATTAAGCATTGTAAGAATCTGTCAAACAGCTTTCAATAGTGCTTGCACCATTTTACAGTCCACTAGCCATGTAGGAGAGTTCCGGTTCCTCCACATTCTCACAAACCTTGAGGGTGGTCAGTCTTTTAAATTTTACTTATGCTAATAGTCAAGCAGTGATTTCTTGTTGCAGTTTTAATTTGGATTTCATGTGTTTGTCTGCCAACCATTTGTCTTCTTTGGTGGAGTGTCTGGTTAGATCTTTTGGGTTGTTTATTATTTTTGAGTTTTGAGAGTTCATGATGTATTCTAGATACAAAGTCTTTGTCAAATGTATGGATTGGGAATATTTTCTCCAATTCTGCGGTTTGTCTTTTCGTTCTTTCAATGGTATCTTTTGAAGAGCAGAAGTTATTAATTTTGATAAAGTCCCATTTGTCAACTTTTTCTTTTATGGATTTTGCTTTGGCGTTTATCTAAGACATATTTGCTCAACCCAAGGTCACATTTTAAAGTGTGGTTTTTTTTTTTGTAGTACATGGTGCAAGCTATGGATCAAAGTTTATTTCTCTTTTCTTGCGCATGCAATTGTACAACATCATTTTTTGAAAAGACTATTTTTTCCACTGAATTGAATTCCACCTTTGTTGAAAATCAGCCATATACATATGAGTGAGTGTATTTCTACATCTGTCTTCTGTTTAGTTGATCTATTTGTTTGACACCAATAGCACCATTTCCTGATTACTGTAGCTTTATGATAAGTCTTAAATCAGGTTGTGTTAGGTATATATATATTTTTTTCTTTTGCAAAGTAAGTTGTTCTGGCTGTTATAGGTCCATTGCATTTCCATGCAGATTTTAGAATTACGTGTCAATTCTGACCAAAACATCCTGCTGTGATTTTGATTCAGATTGTGTTGAATCTATAGATCAGTTTAGGGAGAATTTACATCTTAATAGATATTGTGTCTTCCAATCCACAAATACAGTATATCTCTTCATTTACTTAAGTGTTTAAAAAACTTTTCCTTCAGCAATGTTTTGTAGGTTTCAGTGCACTTTTGTCAGATTCATCCATAAGTATTAAGTATTGGAATACTATTATTAATCATACTGCCTTTTAAAATTCCAGTTTCTGTTTTTTATTACTAAAGTATAGAAATTCAATTGATTTTTGTTGGTTTAGTTGAATCTTTCAAGCTTTCTAATCTCACTGATTAGCTTTAGTGGCTTTTTTGTGGATTCTATCAGGTTTCCTATTTAGACAACCATGGTGTTGTTGAATAAAGACACTTTTTAATTTTCCTTTCCAATCTGGATGCTTTGTATTTCTTTTTCTTGCCTTATTTACTGGCTAGAACTTCTAGGACAATGTTTAATGAGTTGGCGAGAGCAGATATAACCCACTAGTTTCTGATTTGCTTGTTCACCATTGAGTGTGATATTAGCTGTGGGTTTTTCGTGGATAACCTTTACTGGATGGAAGAGTTTCCCTTCATTCCTACTCTGACAATGATTTTAATCAGAAATGGACATTGGTTTTTGTCAAATGCTTTTTCCCCATTGAGATGGCCATATATTCTACTTTTTAAAAATCATTTTATAGAGTAAATTACAATGATTGATTTTTTAAAAAACATTAAATCAACTTTACCTTCTTGGGATAAACTCAGCTTGGTCATGATATACTATTCTTTTTTGCAATCTATTGTTAGTTTCTATTTGCTAAAATTTTGTTAAGAACTTGCATCTAAGTTCATGAGGAATAGTGATCTTTGGTTTTCTCTTCTTGTAATGTCTTTGTCTGGTTTTGGAATCAGGCTATCGCTGGCCTCATAAAATGAGTTGGAAAGTGTATTCTCACTTCACTTTTATGGAAGAGTGTGAGAAGAATTAGTATTATTTCTTCCTTAAATATTTGTTCAAATTCCCCCCTTGAACTTTGGTGCCTGGCATTTTCTCTATTGGAAGATTTTAAACTAAAAGTTAAATTTGTTTGAGTATACAGTATCTGTTTCTTCTTGAATAACAGTTGGTAATGTATGTACTTCAAGGAATTTATTCATTTCATCTAAGTGGTCGAATTTATTGGCATAAAGCTGTTCGTAATATTTTATTATTTTAATTTCTGTGGAATCTATAGTAATACCAGTTTTTTTATTCCTGATATTGATAAGCTATGTCCTCCCTCCCTCCCTGCTTTCATTCCTTCTTTTCTTTCCTTTTTTTTTTTCTTGAAGGGGAATCTGAAGTCATGGACTTGAGGTTTCTTTTCTAAATATAGGATTTGGTGCCATAAATTTCTCTCTAGTAAATATGTTAGTGACACCCACAAATTTCAATAATGTCGGTTCTGGACTGAGTTCAACTGATTTATTTTCTTCTCTATTTTGCATCACATTTCCTGCTTCTTTACTTGCCCAGTATTCCTTGATTGAATGCCAATCATTTTAACTTGTTGGGTGCTGAATTTTGTATTCTTGCACCTTTTGTTGGGCTTTGTTCCGGTATGCGGTTAAGAATTTGGAAATACTTTGATCCTTTTGAGTTTAACTTTTATAATTTATTAAGATTTTTAGTCTATGGCTAATGATTCCTCACTATTGAGACAAGATTGTTCTGAGTCCTCTACCAAATGACCCCTGCCTTCCAAAGTCTTCAAGTCTGGCTGGTGGGAAACAGCACTATTTCCCATCTGTTGTGAGCACTGAATATTGCTCCCTGGAATCCTTTTGGGTGATTCTCTCCCTAGCCTCAAGTACTTTTCTCAACGCATGTACTGATGTCACTCTACTAAATAGTTGAGAATAGCCCCCTGCAGATTCCAGTGTTCTGGCTCTCCATAGCTCTCCTCTCTCCAGATTCCAGTGTTCTGGCTCTCCATAGCTCTCCTCTCTCCAAAACTCTGCCCTGCAATCTCTTGAGCTCCCCTGGGCTCTGCCTGGGTTCCCTTGCCTGCAGCAGTGTCTGGAAAGTCTCCCAAGGCAGAAATCGGGGCAATTCTAGGCTCACCTCATCTCTCTCCTGCCTTTCAGGGTCACTGTCCTTTGTTGTCTAACGTCCAACATCTTGAAAACTATTGTTTTGCACCTTTTGTCCATTTAAAAATATTTTCCAAGTGGTAAGATAAATCTGATCCTTCTTATTATGTGTTTGTTGACAATCTTAGACTAGTTTTAATTTACCTTTCTCAGATGACAAGGTTATCATCTTCTCATACAATTAATATGCTTTTTCTTTTTCTGTGAATTGTCTATTCACTTCTTAGCTTATTTTTCTCCAGGGTTTTTCTTTCTCCTGAGGCTTTGGGAAACGCTACAGAGATTTGTATGTTAGGAATAATAACTCTTTTTTAATGTATTATGATTTAAATTAAAAATATTTCTCCAGTGTAATGTTTGTCATTTTAATTTTTGTGTTTTTTGTCATGCAAATGTTTTTAAATTTTTATGTAAAAATATTTTCCCTTATTGCTTCTAAATTATTAAATATATTTCTTACAAAACAAAAGACATAAATAATGTCTTCCACCTAATGTGGAAACCGAGTAATAGGTGGAAACCAAGTAATACAAATAAGCTCTTTAAACTTCTCCTGGGTGAGGGGCACTAGGTTCTGATATAATAGGTAGATTGTCAATACCCACATTTTTTAGAGAATAATATCTTAGAAATATATTTGCATTGTATATTTGCATGGGTCTATGTTTAAAATTGGTGCTAAAGCTGGATATGGTGAACCTTGCTTGTTGTATTCAATTGTTCTTTCTTTTAAAGTGCTGATTGTAGTGAAAGGGTCCATGGGAAAAAATTCCAAGCACAGGAACCCAAGCAGACAGGCCTGTAGGTAGAGATGGGCAGAGGCTAAACAGGGAAGCATAGCAAGGGAAAGGAGGTGCTGTTACTTGCTGAGCATCTGCTATGTGCCAGGCACTGTGTAAGAGACAGATGTAGAAGAGAAAGGCTGCAGTGGGTATGAACATCTTTGGGGCTACTTTGTTTTTGGAATATCCGGCCTATATTTGGAAAATATCCCTCCTTATGATTTCGCTCTGGACTGAATGACTCTGTCCTCCTCCCCCAAAATGTATATGTTAAAGCCCTAGCTCCTAATGTGATGGTATTTTGAGGTAGGGCTTTGGGAGGTAATTAGGTTTAGATGAGGTTATGAGGGTGGGGCCCCCATGGTGGGATTAGTGCCCGTAAAGAAAGACGAAGAGCAGGAGATTCTCTCTCTCTCTCTCTCTCTCTCTCTGCATGCACACGCCAAGGACCATGCTGCACCCTGATCTTGGCCTTGCAGTCTCCATAACTGTGTGAAATAACTGTCTGTTGTCTCAGCCACCCAGTCTATAATAATTTGTTATAGCAGTCCGAGCTGACTGAGACCATACATGCCTCCCTAAAGCAGAAGCTCACTTTCTCAGTTTCCCTCGACATTCAGGACAGGTAGGTGAGTTGGGCCTCATGAATCAGATGCACTCACATAAAACCTTGATTTGGAAGAGAAAAATAATTGGATGAGGCACGCACATTGACAAATCCACTTTCTGGTATCGATTACAGCGAGGTTACTTTCAGAGAGGGCAGCAGGGCAGAGGTTCTGGGGTCCAGCCTCCCAGTCGGCACTGGGAGCTGAGATGTCTGTGCTCACTGGAAATGGCAATGGGCGGTCCTCACTGCAGGTGACCAGCCAGGGGATTTGAACATTCATCCTGGATATGGTATTCTTTGAGAAGTCTGGACGGGGGGTCCTTAATGTCTTTAAACTGGTATTGAGGGAACCTCTGCCTGTTGCCCGTCACTTAAGGCTCACCGGGAAGCTGACGTATTTGAAACTTGCAGCTTCTTCACAGCCGACAAAAAGAAAAGGGAGATAAATTTTTTAAAATTCTCCTCTTTTCCCTAGAAAACAGAGATGAGAGAAAACCCTTGTGTTATGGCCATTAACCATTTCCTTTGTTCATTCAAATAGGAATCTAGCTTTTTTTCTTTTTTGCACCAGACGCTATGCTAAGTGCCAGACCACTGTGAACTGCAGAGGAAAAACCAGGATGTCAGAACTCTTCCACCGGTGGGGATATTAGAGGCCACAAAGCCTCCATCACTCAACGCAATTGCATCTAAAAAATAATTTTCTGCGGACCACATGGAGGTGAGATGTTTGAGGTTTCTGAACAGGAAGTCCAAACATGTTAATGTGATACATTAGCAGGGTCTGATTATTTTCCCCTAACAAGGTCACAGGAAATTTGTTAGCCCTGCATCAGAATCCTCTGGAAGAAAAATCCTCAGAGGTCACATTAACCCTTTAGTTCCCACTGCTGTGATGAAGTTTCTATCGGGCAGTGCTTTACCTTTTGATGGTCATGGAAACATCCCAGACTCTCACCTTTATATGATGCCTCCATTTTCATCTATCCATCCATCCATCCATCCATCCATCCACTCACTCACTCAACCAATAGTTGCTGGAGCATCTGCTGTGGGCACTGCTGCAGAATCGGGGATGTGGCAGTGAACAGGACCCACAAATTCCCACCCTTCAATGAGTTAACATTCTCATGTCATTCTCTCACAGCTTCATGCAGCAACTCTCTAAAATCAGTGTCATTTTTCAAACAAAAAAGCGAGGTGCCGATCATGCAGCCTGTAAGCCCTTTCCCAGTCTTTTCTCCACAGAGCAGCCAGGCTGATCTTTTTTAAAAATGTAAATCACTCCCTGCTTAAAATCTTCTAGTGCCACCTCATTGCCCTGAAGAATAAAATCCAAATTCCTTACCAGAGCCTATAAGACCGTGAAGGATATGCCTCCTGGCTCCCGCTGTGACCTCATCTACCCCTTGCTCATCGCAGTTCTGCCACATTTGTCTTCTCTTTGCTCTCCCAGGACTCTGAGCGGAGTCCTGCCTCAGGACCTTTGCACCATCTATTTCCAAACACTTTGCTCTCTGTGTATTTCCTTGGCTGATTTCTACCATTCAGGTTTCAGCTCAAATATCACCTCCTCCAGTAGGCCTTTGGGACTTGTCCCCTTACCTGAATTAGCACACACCCACCCCTCTTTCCCCCATGCCCTGTTTTATTTCTCACATGACTGTGGCAGTGAGCTTTCTTAGCAGCAATATGGACTCCAGCAGACGAACTCTGGCAGATACAGGGGTGGTGCAGGGGAACAAGCTCTCGTTCACAGCTAGATGTACTGGCTTGCTCTTCTGCCCCTTACTGGCTGCAAGGCATGAGGCAAGCATCTTAATCTCTCCAGTCCTTGGAACATGGAAACCAGACCATGTCTTTCCTCTGCTCAAAGCCTTTTAAGGGCTTCCCATCCCGGGCAGAGAAAAAGCCAGGTTCCTTTCTTTGCCCTGTAAAGCCATCCAACTGGACCCATTCCTTGCCTGACCTCTTCTCCCACTCCATCCCCCACTGGCTCTGCTCCAGCCACTTCTGCCCTTGCTGTTCCTTGAGCAGCCAGGAACGTGGCTGCCTCCGGGCCTTTGCACTTGGTGCTTTCTCTCTCTGGAATGCTCTTCCTCCAACACCCATGTGGCTTTCAAGTTTTCATTCAAGCATTACCATCTCAGCGAGACCTTCACTAGTTGCCCTATTGAAAATTGCAACCCCACCTCCTCCCCAACCCCTGTCCCTTTCCCTCATTGATTTCTCCCCTTAGCACTCATCAGCCTGTCACGTACTGTCATTTGCTTATTTGCTGGTTTATTGTCTGTCTCCCTCCACCACAATGATGGCTCCATGAGAAACGATTTCTGTTTTGTCAGTGATAATGTTCTAGCATCTAGAATGCAGGCACAGGGTGGGCAGATCGGCTGAATGAATGAGTGGACAAGGTTTGGTTCCTTTATTCCTCTTCCTTGCAGTGGATAGTCAGAGTCTCTTCCTGATATCAGGGTACTGAGTATGGAGTGAGACTCAGGCATTAGATTCCAGCATGCTGCCTGCCGGTGCTGGCTATCTCTGGTCCCATTCCTGCTCAGCTCTTACGCTTGGCTTCCTACCCAAGACAAGCAGCCCCGGAAACAGATTCAGTCAGTGCTCTTCACCTTGAACATCTGAGGGCTGTGCTTGACGAAGTCTTAAAGCCAGTAAGTATCAGCAGCTAAGCTCTCTCTGCTAGATGGTTAGTGCAGAGGCCACACTTAGGCAGCTGCTGGGGAGAGGACAAGGACAGTCAGCTTTAGAAGGAAGGACACAACTGACCTCTGCTTGCTGGCAGACGGGGTGGGCTGCAGAGCTGATGAAAACAGAGGCTCCAAGTCCTGTGTGTAAGAACGTGCGGGCTCAGTCACACTGCAAGGGCCTGAGTCCTGGGTCTTTTATATCTGTGTGATATTGGGTGTGCTGGTTAATTTTATGAGTCAACTTGGCTGAGTCATAGTGCCCAGAGATATGGTCAAACATGATTCTAGGTGCTTCTGTGAGGGTGTTTTTGGATGAGATTGACATCTAAGTAGGTGGACTGGAGTAGAGCAAGTTGCCCTCCGTAATGTGGATGGGCCTCGTCCAGTCAGTTGAAAGCCTGAACAGCAGAAAAGACTGACCTCCCCTGAGCAAGTGGAATTTTCTGCCCACAGATGGCCTTTAGGCTGGAGCTGTAGCCTCAGCTCTCCTCTGGGTCTCCAGCCTTCCTGCCTATCCTGCAAATTTTGGACTTCCCAGCCTCCTTAAAGTAAATCTCTATCAACATACCGGTGGCCCTCTGTATCCATGGTTCCACATCTGTGGATTCAACCAACTGCAGATCAAAAATTTAGTTAGACCCGTGAAAGTTGTGTACAGATTTTTCCTTGTCATGATTCCCCAGACAATACATTTAACAACTACTTATATAGCATTTACATTGTATTATGTATTATAGGTAAACTACAGATGACTTAAAGCAGTGGTCCTCAACCTTTTCGGCACCAGGGACCAGTTGCATGGAAGACAATTTTTCCATGAACTGGCAGGAGGGGGTGGTTTTAGGATGATTCAAACCATTATATTTATTGTGCACTTTATTTCTATTATGATTACATTGTAATGTATAATGAAATAATTATACATCTCACCATAATGTAGCATCGGTGGGAGCTCCAAGCTTGTTTTCCTGCAACTAGATGGTCCCATTTGGAGGTGATGGGAGACAGTGACAGATTATCAGGCATTAGAATTTCAAAAGCAGCATGCAACCTAGATCCCTCACATGTGCAGTCCACAATAGGGTTTGTGCTCCTAACATAATCTAATGCCACCACTGATCTGACAGGAGGCAGAGTTCAGACAGTAATGCAAGTAAGTGATGGAGAGTGGCTGTCAGTACAGATAAAGCTTCACACACTCACCCAGCACTCACCTCACTCACCTCCTATTGTATGGCCCGGTTCCTAACAGGCCATAGGCCAGATAGGTTTGTGGCCCAGGGGTTGAGGACCCCTGACTTAAAGTACATAGGAGGATGTGCTGTAGGTTACAGGCAAATACCACACCATTTTATTGTATCTGCGAGGGGTCCTGGAACCAATCTCCTGAAACCAAGGGAGGACCATATATACACATTCTATTGGTTCTGTTTCCCTGGAGCACCCTGAGTAATACAAGAGAAGTCTTTTCATGCCTCAGTGAACCTGGGACTCAGTTTGCTTGTCACTGGTGATACCTCCAGAGCTAGCTGATGTGAGTCCCCACTCCCTCATTGGCTCCTGGCCTTGGGCACATAACTGAACCCCTGCGTGCTCCAGGCTCCTCTGCAAAGTTGGGAGGGTAGTAACAGTGCCACCCTCAGAGGGTTACTGTGAGAATTAAATCCTTTAGTGCCCATGAGTGCTGAAGGCTAGAGATGCACTGGTCTTTACTATCAGGACATAAGGATTGAGAAAATCCATGAAACTGCTCAGCATGTTAGTAGCTTGCTAGGTGAGTGCAGCTCACACCAAGATCTCGGCACCTGTTAGATGGTACTATTAACACAATATTTATTTGTAAATTACTGAAATCTTATTCACCAGATAAGTATGAATTGAACCCAGACCTACAAAAAGCCTAAAATACTTGGGAAACAATAATTTACCTTAGGAGGTAGTCAGCTGTCTGGTAACCTCAATCAGCTGAAATTTGCTGGCAAATTCAGGAATTGAAAAATCCTAGAGATTCTAGGTCAGAGGGTACAAACTTGCAGTCATGTAGGATGAATAAGTCTAACCTAATGCACAGTAGGAGGACTGTAGTTCATAATATTGTGTTGTATGCTGAACGTTTGCTAAGAGACTGGATTTTATGGGTTCTTACCACACACACACACACACACACACACACACACAGTAACTATGTGAGGAGATTGAGATGTTAATTTGCTTGACTGTAGTTGTTATTTCACCATGTGTATCAGAACATCATGCTGTACACATGAAATAGATACAATAATTAATAAACAACTATCCTAGAGAGATGAGGGGTAAGTATCATATGAAGCCACACACTCGATTCTGCGGGAAGGTTCATGGGATCCTCCTTAGGCCCCATGCCTGCTGGCACAATGTCTGTTGTAAAAGGAAGCATTGGAGAGTGGCCTACCTTGAAACCCCTTGGGATTTTATGCTCAATTTTGGAAGCCTGGCATCCATCCCAGTGCCCCTACAGGTAAGGACTTACGCTTTTATTGAATTGCATGTAATGACAAGAAGTTAATACCAACTGATGGACCTTAGAAACTAAAGAACTGGCCAGGCATGGTGGCTCACACCTGTAATCCCAACACTTTGGGAGGCCGAGGCGGGCTGATCACCTGAGGTCGGGAGTTCGAGACCAGCCTGGTCAACATGGCAAAGCCCCATCTCTACTAAAAGTAAAAAAGTTAGCCAGACGTGGTGGTGGGCACCTGTAATCCCAGCTACTCAGGAGGCTGAGGCAGGAGAATTGCTTGAACCAAGAGGTGGAGTTTGCAGTGAGCCAAGATCACGCCACTGCACTTCAGCCTGGGTGACAATAGCGAGACTCCGCCTCAAAAAAAAAAAAAAAAAAGAAAAAAAACGCAAAAAACAAAACAAAACAATGTAAAGAACTGAATCAGTTCTTCCCATTTCTGTACCATCAAGGGCATTCATTCATGCATCATATATAAGTTCTGGAACACAAATTTCCAGTTGATATTTTTTAATTCAAAAACAAAAGATGACATAAAAACTCAGCCACATGGGAACATTCCTGAGTATTAAGCTCCCAATGTATTTCACCTTACAAGCATTTATTGAGCTCCTACTATGTGTCTAGAACCACATTAAGTGAGAGGATGTTTAAGATATGTTCTTAGTCTGAAGGAGGTCACAGTCTAGCCAGGTTCACATATTTCCCAATATTTATTGGCATGTGAGTAAATAACAAACTGCTATAAAACTTCATAGGTGGGTGAGACCACTGTGGGTTATAGAAATAAGGAAAGGATTCTTTGGGGAGGTAAGAAATGAATTGAATTATACCATGAAGACTTTGTTGGTGTCTTGGAGGTAACTATAGCACCTCTTTCTTCACCTCCTAATTTTGAACCAATTAAGACACAGGAGCGAGACAGATGGCGATGAAAATATCACGCTAAAAGGCTGCATTGACCCATGTACCTGAGGTGGGTAGCCACATGGGTTTCCTCCTACATTCCCCCTTGAATGAGGTAGACTCATTCTGCCAGTCATATGTACCACTGACCAGCATAGGTTTCTGAAAGGAATGGCTGAGAGGAGCATGCCCCATTCAGCGAGGAGGCAAAGAGAGGCTACAGATGGCTCTCAGAATCCCTCCCGGAGAGTGGAATGGAAATTCTTGGTCTCTGTGGAAACATGAGGGGTAAGCTATACATATATCCTTGTATGACTAGTAAGTTATGCCTAAATTAAATTTGGTTTGGAAGTGTGTAACAAAAGCAGTGATTCTGGATGGGTATATTAACAACATCATCAACAACAACATCAACATTAATAACATCAACAACATTATCACATCAACAATAGCAGCACAGCAGTAGTACCAACAGCAGCAACAATAATAATAGAATAACATCTCAGCAACAAGAATAAAAATAGCAACAATAGTACTGTCAACCACATCAGCAAGAACATTAACAGTAAAATGCCAACAGCATCATCACAACATCCACAGTAACAGTGTCGACAGCATCATCACAACACCCATAGTAATGTCAATGGCATCATAACAACACCCACAGTAACAATGCCAACAGCATCACAACATGTACAGAAACATCATCACTAGAGCATCACCAGAGCATCATCACTACTTGCACAGTAACAACATCAATAGCAACATAACAGTATCCAGAGAAACAATATCAACAGCGTCATCACAATGCCCACAGTAAGTGTCAACAGCATCATCACAACACCCATAGTAACAACATTAGCATTATCACAACATCCACAGTAACAGTGTCAACACCACCATCACAGCATCCACAGTAATAGTGTTAACAGCATGATCACAACATCATAGTAACAGTGTTAACAACATCATCACAACATCCACAGTAACAGCCTCAACAGCACCGTTACAACATCCACAGTAAAGCATCAACAGCATCATCACAACATCCACAGTAACAGTGGCAACAGCACCATTACAACATCCATAGTACAGTATCAACAACATCATCACAACACCCACAGTAACAATGCCAACAGCATCATCACAACGTCTACAGAAACAGTGTCTAGAGCATCATCACTACTTCCATAGTAACATCAACAGCAAATCCAGAGAAACAACATCAACAGCATCATCACAACACCCACAGTAATAGTGTCAACAGCATCATGACAATACCCATAGTAACAACATTAACATCATCACAACATCCACAGTAACAGTGTCAACAGCACCATCACAACATCCACAGTAAAGCATCAACAGCATCATCACAACATCCACAGTAGTGGTGTCAACAGCATCATCACAACACCCACAGTAACAATGCCAACAGCATCATCACAACATCTACAGAAACAGTGTCTAGAGCATCATCACTACTTCCATAGTAACAACATCAACAGCAACATAACAGTATCCAGAGAAACATCATCAACACCATCATCACAACACCCACAGTAACAGTATCAACAGTATCATCACAACATCCACAGTAACAGTGTCAATAGCATCACCACAACATCCACAGTAACACTGTCAACAGCATCACTGCAACATCCACAGTGACAATGTCAACAGCATCATCACAGCAACAGTAGCAGCACATCAGCAGCAACAGCTGCCACAAAATGGCAACAACAGTGGTATTAACAATAATAAGAATAGTAGTGAAAACATTGTCATCAGCAACAGCAAAAACAGCAGCAACATAATCCGCAGCAACAGCAGCAAAAATAGCAACAGCAGTAGCAGCAGCAGCAGTAACAATAACAAAAACAGCAGCAACACCATCAATAGCAATAACAAAGCTAGGTAGTATTTATAGAGTGCTTATCTCACACCAACCTCCAGGCTAAGTACTGAACATGCATGATCTCATTTAACCCTCACAGGATTTATCTTAAACAGTGGAATAGAGAGAGACTAGATAAAATTATGCCCATGAGATAGGTGTAATCCAGTAAAAAAGGACTCAGTTGTTGAGCTGCGTAGGTCTGGGTTCTAATCCATATTCTTTTGTTATCTAAGCAACCTCAGGCAAGCTCTTTAACTTTCCTGCATTTCAATTTGTAATTTCCAAATGGGGAAAAAAACTGCACCCTGGATTTGTCGTGAGGACTCAGTGAGGTCGTGGGGTGAGGTACTGGCACGTTCCCACGGGGTCACCTGGGTGGGAAGGCATCTTGTCAAATCAGACTCAAGAGGAACCACTGGGAGGATGAGGTTGTGGCTCTGCCCACCCCCTCTCTTCTCCAGTATTCTTTGTCTTTTCACCGTGTTGGTCTCTCCCAGCTGGGAGCTGTCAGAAAAGCTCAGAAGTTGGGGGGGAAAGGCAGCCTTTCATCCCCTACGCTTGTCATCCTCAGCTTTCTGCCGATGCTCAGTTCTTTTTTCCTAGGGAAGATAAAAAGAAAACACATAAAACCCCACAAACATAAATGCATCAGACACAATCCTACTTCTTCAAGGCAGAGTCTCAGGAGACTGCCTTCTAAGGGGAAGACAAAGGGAATTGGACCTTTGTCCAACTGGGAGCAGGCTCTGCATGTGTGTTCTCAGGAGACTTGGCACAAAGGCTAAGGTTGGCTCTCCACCTCCCATTAAATGTGGACACACTTTCCGGAAGCCTTGTGTCTGAAGGCAGCACAGTGCCTTTGAGAAGCTGGTATGCTGGAAACAGCATACTTAGAATGAGCACCAAAGAGGATGGCTGAAGCAACTCCCCCACCTTGGCTGACAGAATTCATCTATGAATATAGGTACTCACCCCTCCTTCTGTGCCAAGCATCCAATCAGTGAAATGGTAGTTATTCTTCCCCATTAGCTTCATGAAGTCAAAGTCTGCTTTATTTGGTTTCCCACTGTATTCACCATTACTGTTGTCCCCAGTAGGTCATATTCTCCCAGAAGCAGAGCCTGAGCCAAGGATTCAATGCAAAGGATTTGTCGAGGAAGCGCTCCCAAGATGTACCAGTGAGGCAGTGGAGGGTAGAGGACGAATAGGGGAGGAGAAGAGACTCAACAAGTGTATCATCTTGGGTGACACCCCAGCCTCATCTTGGTCTTAAGTGGTGTGCTGAAGCAGAGATGATATCTCAGGGTTTGTCCTCTCCAAGGCACAGGTGCTGGGCTTTTGTATTCCCACACTGGTGGTCACTGGCTGTGGGTTAGGGGGGATGGGAAGGGCTGAGAGTGAGTTGCCAAGTTGTTCCAGCTCTCCAGGGAAGGCCCCAGTGCTCACTGACAGGGAAAAAAATTGTTAAAAATTGGTTCTTTGAATTGTGAGTCTTATGAATTTGCTTCTGGATGTCCATTGGTAATTGATCCACAGCCTCCCAGGAAGTCCTTGTTTTTCTTAGCATCAGGGCATGCAGGAGCTGGGCTGGATGCACAGGGCTAGTAAAAGGCTTCAGAGGGGGGTCTGAGCTGGGCACCCTCAGAGTCTGCTATGTTTTTCTTTAAGAATTGAGAGAGCGCAGTAAAAAAAAAAAAAAAAAAAATAGGATTGCATTGATTCTTTTCATGCAGACTCCATGATCTGGACAGAAAGTGACCTTCATTGATGCATTCCAGTTGAGTGAGCACTGGAGACTGTCGCACTGGGGTTTGGGTCAAAGTTCCAGCTGGCAGCAAAGCATTCTGGCTCTGTTTTATCTGCAGCGTCTGCAGTTCCTATATGTGGAGGGAAGAAGGCTGGTGTTCCCTGGTCTCCTTTTATATAATTATAAAATGAGCTTTTATAATTATAAAAGCAATGCATGAAAATAAACAAAATCAACATTCCCGAAGGGGCTAAAATATGCTATTTTGGTAGGTTGACTATTCAGTTAAAGGCACTTGAAAAACAGCAGGTGCAAGGAGATCAGTCTGAACTTCATTTTCTTAAAAGCAGAAGATGAAATTCCCGTATGAAAGATGTCATCCCTACACTAGAGAAAAAGCAAGGTTCTTATCATCAGGGACAAGAAAGTTGAAGTGGAATGAATTCTGTACAAACAAGCCTTGTTCAACTAACTCTTGTCATGCTGGCTACTTCTCTATCCAGTTAACCACCCTAGCCCAAGACCTTTTGCCTGATCACATGTTTACAGTTCATAATTCTTTGTCAAATCTGGTATAGAATTAACTGACTCTGACAGCTTCTTTGGGTCTTTATTTCTTTATGAGGCTCCTATGCTATGTAAAACTTGTATTGTGCTTTGCTCCTGTTAATCTATGTTATGTCAATTTAATTCTTGGACCCACCTGGGACCCTAAAAGGGTGAAGGAATATTCTTCTGTCCCAACAGTTTCTGTCCTAAAAGGCTGAGCACCTTCTGATTCACTGTGGAGCCTGCAAATGGGATCCTGAGGGGCCTAATAAACGATAGAAGAAAGTAGCAATTCTTATCAAGGTCAGCTCTCCTGGATTTCTGTCCGTAGCGTCCAGTTGAAAGAAGAAGGTAAAAATTTTTGCATGTTCCTTCCTGCCCAAATTCAACTGACAGGGAAAAAATTTGTTAAAAATTGGTTCTTTGAATTGTGAGTCTTGTGAATTTGCTTCTGGGTGTCCATTGGTAATTGATCCACAGCCTCCCAGGAAGTCCTTGTTTTTCTTATCTCTGTCTTTTTTGTGTGGGTTGTCATAAGGAGAAAAATTATAATTAATTAGATTTGAGGTAGGAGGCTGGCAGGGCTTGTTTCCTGGTCATGACCCCGCTGATCTGGTTGAAAGGATATGGTTGAAACAGAAGGCAGTGAAGAAGCCAGCCAAAATAAGCAGATGGCCATGAAAGTGACCTCTAGTTGCCCTCACTACTCATTAGCATAAAGACATTCCCATGGGTGCCATGACAGTTTACACATGCCATGGCAACGGGCCATAGCAATGGCCCACAAGTTACTGTATATGGTTCTGGAAGCTCTCTGCCCCTTTTCCAGAATGTTCTGAATAATCTGCCTCTTAATTAGCATATAATTAAAAGTGGGTTTAAATACACCTGCCAACAGCTTATACATTGCTGACTCTGGGCACGCTGCTTATGGGTTAGCCCTGCTCTGCCAGTAGCAGCCTGGTTCAATAAACGTTGCTTTCTCTCACCACTGGCTCACCCTTGAATTCTTTCCTGGGTGAAGTCAAGAACCCTCTCAGGTTGATCCCCAATTTTGAGGTTCACCTGTCCTGCATCAGACTCTCCTGCATCTTCTTTGAAGTCATAAGAGCGTGGCTTTGTCATCAGTGGAAACGTGCTCTTTGGTTTCTATCAGCCTGGGGCCCGAGCTGTTGGGCTTCTGCTCAGCAGTTAGCCAGCTCTCCAGGATTCTGAAACACAAAGTGTCTCTTTGTATGACTGCGCCAGCTCTCAGGACAGTTTGTCATAATCGTCTCAGCCTTTGTTGCCCTGTTAACAATGAGGGTCTTTACTTTCTTAGGTATCCTTGGAGGAAACTTTGAATCTGGGGGGGTGGGATTTTTGTACCCTCTTTATGGATGCCTCTTTTGTCCATGATTAAACCATAAAAGGATGATCAGTTTTGAGTGAAAATTGAAGTAAGTATACCTTTGAAGATTTGGACTTTTGTATCTAAAAGTATTTTTTTAGGGGGTGGTCAGCTGTATCCAGATTTGGGGTGGATGGGTGGATAAAGGTCGGAGTGAGATCCGGCTAACGGTGAACCCGTCTCTACTAAAAAATAAAAATAGCGGGCGAGGTGGGGGCGTGGTCCAGTACTCGGAGGCTGGGAGGAGATGGTAACCGGGAGCGGTTGCGTGAGCTGAGATCTGGACTGCACTCCGCCTGGGACAGAGCAGACTCAGTCTAAAAAAAAAAAAAAAAAAAAAAAGTATTTTTTTAAGAGAACCCTCATCCTAAACAACTGTCCTGTTGGTATAAATGTGAAGATTTGGCTTAAAAGAAAAAAAAAAAAACTTATATAAATTATTATCTCAGAAAAAGAGAAACTAACCTAAGTGTTTTTCAAGTTCATGTGGTTTTAGATAATCTTTGGTAAATAAAAACCTACTTAAAGTTTGTTGATTTAATTAAACCAGGCACGTTTGCTGCATTGTCAACATTAAATACAATGCGCACACACAACTTCTTCTACCTGGACTTACTAATCTAAAAGCTTGTGTATGTTTCAGAGTGTAAAATTATAAATTCAACCTAAGAACAAAATAATAAATAATAAGTTGCTTGATGTATGAAAAACATGACAATTTAAAAAATTGAAAAGAGCCATATGTTGTACCTTTGTCTTTGTTTCTGGTTTTTTTTTTTTTTTTTTTTTTGTGACTTGGCTGATTTGTCTATAAGAAAATAAGACAATGACTAGCTTTGTTTAATGTCTCATGAAGTCTTAATTAACAATTCAGACATAATTGTTAAAACCAAGTAGACTTAATAAATGTAAACAGGGCAAAAGTTTATAAATGACCCTTTCAACAATGGTTACGTTTTATAAAATATGTGTACTTGACAGACTAGATTAAGAAAATGTGGCACATATACACCATGAAATACTATGCAGCCATAAAAAAGGATGAGTTTGTGTCCTTTGTAGGGACATGGATGCAGCTGGAAACCATCATTCTCAGCAAACTATCACAAGAACAGAAAACCAAACACCGCATGTTCTCACTCATAGGTGGGAACTGAACAATGAGATCACTTGGACTCAGGAAGGGGAACATCACACACCGGGGCCTATCACGGGGAGGGGGGAGGGGGGAGAGATTGCATTGGGAGTTATACCTGATGTAAATGACAAGTTGATGGGTGCTGACGAGTTGATGGATGCAGCACACCAACGTGGCACAAGTATACATATGTAACAAACCTGCACGTTATGCACATGTACCCTAGAACTTAACATATATATAAAAAAAAAAGAACAAAGGACAATAAATAGTTCTAAATAATAATAAAATAAAATAAAATAAAATATGTGTACTTAAAACTGGTTTCCAAAATATTTTTTGCAAGCTAAAACCTTAAAATTATACTTGGTTAAATTAAATGACTGACATTTGTTGAATAGCATAATCATTTCCAAATAAGATGTAATACTGAAACATTAATTGCTGAATATAAGTTTAACCTTCTATTCTTTTGGCTTCCTTTTACAGAATAACAAAAGATATTTGGATCTGTTAATAAATATGTCCTGTGCCACACCGAAAAATTGTTCAACAATAAAGCATATATATTTCAGGAGTAATGAAATAATATATTCACAAATCCATAGAAGTTTATAATTGCTTATTTCCTGGCTTTCTAGTTTTTACTAGAAATTAAAGTCACTAAGAGTTAAGAATTCTAATACAAAAACTGCTAGAAATCATGAAGGAAATACCTCAATATGAAAAGCTACAATGAAGGTGAGATGTTATAAGGAATAAAGTTGTGTTTTTTTGCTATCGTTGAGGAAAAGAATAATTTTGTCGGTTTCGAGGTTCAAAAGGTTGCTTCAGGATGAATCAATGAATAAAGGATAAAAACTGGATGGATATAAAATGTTAGAGAGACAGAGAGAGCTAAAGAGAGGATCTAGTCAAACTGACTAAACTGAATGAATTTATTATAAATGTTTTAAAAATGACCCTTAATATCATAAGCAAACTGATGCAAAACTAGAATTTTGTCTTCTCAATTATAAGGACAAAATTTTTTTTGAGCACTGATCTGCTCTTGGTAAGAGATTTATTGAAATGTTTTCCTTTTTCTTTTTCTTTTCTTTTTTCTTTTTTTTTTTTGTTTGTTTGTTTTTGAGACATAGTCTTACTCTGTCACCCAGGCTGGAGTGCAGTGGTGTGATCTCTGCTCACTGCAACCTCCACTTCCTGGGTTCAAACAATTCTCCTGCCTCAGCCTCTTGAGTAGCTGGGATTATAGGCATGCACCACCCTGCCCAGTTAATTTTTGTATTTTTAGTAGAGACGGGGTTTCACCATGTTGGGCCAGGGTGGTCTCGAACTCCTAACCTCACATGATCTACCTGCCTTGGCCTCCCAAACTGCTAGGATTACAGGTGTGAGCCACCGCGCCTGGCCAAAGTGTTTTTCTTTATGCTTGAAGTAATTTGCCTAGAAAACAAAGATTTCATGTTTAATTAAAATAATTTCCTCTCCTTCATATTGTCTTTATTGTCTTTGATTACTTAAGTAAACTAAGTGTTCTCAATATTAACAAAGCTAAAGTTTTTTTTTTTTTTTAATGATGATGTAACTTTCTGTATTTGCCTTTGAAATCTTTTGTCACTTTGGTGTTATTTCATGATCTATGATCGTGTTTTAATTAATAATTTTAACTTTTTGATATTTTCGAAAACTTCCCAAATTAAATCTGTTTGACCTTAAGCTAACTTTAGAATTTTCCAGATGGGTATCTGGAGGATTACAAAAGATTTGTTTTCTCTCCTTATAAAAAGAGAGATATTAAACCAATTAAGCTTATTTGATATATTAAAGTATACAGAAAACATAGTCAAAAACGATATTTAACCTTCATGTTATATTTATATGAATGTATATCATTAATATAAGTGTTCTAAAAATTATATAAAATTTCTAAAAATGTTATACGTTCTAATACATTATCAGTAATGATTCTAGTTAGCATGTTAAAATGTTGTATGTCATAGATATAACCAAATTCCTTGTCAATTTAATCATTATTTTAGTGAACTCTTATCAGATCCTTAACCATGGCCATTTTGAGCTGTCGTTTTTCGCAGACAGCTGTTGTTTATTCTGATTCTTCCTGAAGGAATTTACAAACAGCTACTGTCTAAAGTTGCTCCTTTTTCAAACAGAGTCATAGAAAAAGCCTCTGCAAGTACTCTAAAACACAGGTTTTCTAGTAACTTTCAGACCCTATAGCCAGACTGGGTAAGAATTTCCAGAACTCCAATGAAGAAACCAATGAGTTCTTGAAAGTACTATCACAAAATCAAGCAGAATAAGAGTTAATGACATGGGACTAAACAAACTGATAAAGATAATTTTTATGCCTTTTGTCTGAAACACTGATTATTCTTTAACATTATGCTTTACAGATTTAACAAAAGTTTTCTGTTTTTTTTCTCTTAGCGATGTATTAAGTTAGTAAGGCATACGTTAGTAAACATAAAGGAGATATTTATCTTTTTTTCCTACCAGATCCCCCCCCAAATTTAGAAACTGTCAGTGAGTATTCTTATTTTCATGGCAATATGGCTGCCTACATGAGTTCAATAAGAATCTGTTCTCTTTACAACAGGATATAATTGGAAACACTGGTTATATTATTAAGGCTTTGACTGGAATATCACATTTCCAGATATGACTAGATAACGTTAAGGAACTAAGGTTGACTTTATGGAGCCAATGCTTATAAAGCTTTCTTGGAAAAGCTGGCCTGGTACCTGGCTTAAAAAGGCCATGCCAGATGTCTGAGCTACAGAGACATGGGCTGATGATTAGGTGTTATTTTATGTTTCTAAATTTGTGGTAATTTGTTACACAAGAATAAAAAGCTAATACAATAATATACAGCTTTCCAAGCCAATGAAAATAAGTGTTCCTACTTCTTTTGCACAATATTATATTTTTTGCTATTATTTTGATGTAGCAAAATATATTCAAACATATTCCTCTTTATAGAAAAAAAAAAAAGGCTCTTGGCTTTATAGCTGAGTAAGGAATGTCACTTTCTGACAGGCCCCAAACCCTCAGGATATTTTGGGAACTTCAAGAAGAGAGGAATTCACTAAATCTATAGGTATCCCAGATGAAGTCTAATGCTAAGTCCTTGGCTTGGTTTCCTGGCCTTTAGAGGCTTTTAAAGGTACAATCTGAGATTCCAGCAAAGTAGACTTTTAAAAAAGTCTAAATAATCCATCACTATTCTTTGCTGCACTTATGTAAATAATCAGGCCAAGTTTAATGAGACTACATTATTTGACTAACAAATCAGTTTTATGTTGATTACCTTTGGTAAAAATGCGGTGACCATGTTGCAGGCCTTTCCCTTAGTTCAGCTAAAGGCAGGGGTTCTCACCACGTGACCGCGAAAATATAAGCTTGCAGACAAATTGAAGGGTGCACAGTGCAGGAATTTATTGGGTGAAAAGGAAATAAAGGGGGGAACAGGGACTCTCTGTAAGGCCAGACTTCCGCTAGTGTGCTTCCCACCTCGCACCTTGAATCCCAGGTCCCCACACAGGAAGAGGAGGGGCCAGGCTCCTCTGGGCTGCAAACTGTGTGAACTTCTCTGGCTCCACCCCAGTGCACGTTCCCAGTGCACAGGCCAGTTGGAATTTTGCCAGGGACCCCCCTCCCACCTGGCTGTCTCAGTTTTAAAGAGAAAAAAATTATACTTCAGGAGAAAACTATACTGTATCCATTGTTAGATGGATACATTAGACCTACTCATTGTTTTTGAGGTTTTTATTTACCTATATAATAGTGACTAGATTGTAAATTCTTCTAGTTTCCTCCAGCATCTGGCTATTAGTATCCAAACTAATATTTCCAATTTTCTCCCACTCTTCTGACTTGGAATCATCAAAAATTAAAAATGTCCTTTTCTGGAATTCCTGTAAGCTGAAACTGGACACTTTAATACAGACTTCAGCGAAGTCACTGTAACAGCTCATATATGAACAACCTTTTCAACATGCAAATGGCAAACCAGGGTAACCTGCCAGATTGTCACTGCCTGTCCCACTCCGGTTAGAGATTCTTTGAACCCAACATCTAGACATCTCAACCACTGCCCTCTGGACTCCAAGACTTAAAAGCAGAAGATGAGATTCCCATGTGAAAAATGTCCTCCCTACACTAGAGAAGAGGCAACATTCTTATCATCAAGGACAGGATAGATGAGGCTGAAGGAATTCTGTACAAACAAGCTTTGTTAAACTAACCCTTGCCATCCTGGCTACTTTACCCAATTAACCACCCTAGCCCAGGACGCTTTGCTTTATCACATGTTCACAGTTTGCTATTCTTTGTTCAATCTTGTAACTGACTGTAACTGCTTCTTTGGGTCTCTGTTCCTTTATGAAGTTTCCCAGGCCATACAAAACTTGTGTTACTCTATCTTCTCAGTTTAATTCTGGAACTCAGCCAGGCCCTTAAGAGGATGGAGGCGAGTTTTTCCCACAGCAGTTCTGAATGGGATGAAGTGAAAAATAAAATCTCCCCATTGCCACTACACGACCTCCAGGTGAGTCCTGCAGTAGAAATACTGTTTAACTTTTTCTGCTTTTACTTTTTCTGATTATCATCTTTATCATTCAGTTTTATATGTTCATATCTATGTGCTTTGATAATTATATTACATACTTTTGGTTATTATCTACTTACTCATTACATTGAAAAAGAAGAGATCTACTCTACTTGCTCTATAATCTACATCCCCTTCCCTCCTACATTTCTTTAGTTTTCTTGATTTGGTTTCTTATTGAAACTAGAGGTAGACTGACTGTAAATAGAAGTAAATAGAAAGTAGTTTAAGCTTCAGGACCTTTAATCTCTCAGGCTCCTTCCCATGTTCTGTACCTAATTTTGTTAGGTCTCAAACTCTTTTCAATGTTCTGGACCTAATTTTGAATTTGCAGTATGTACTCATGTTCTTTAAAGACAGTCTCCAAGTTAGATAAGCTCCAGCCATTCAAAATCTAGATCTGCCCCATTAACTTTATAAAGTCAGTATAACACCATTAACAAGATATAATCACCAGAAAATGGCCCACTCAATTGGGCACTAAGATGGCTGAATAGGAGCAGCTCCAGCCTCCAACTCCCAGCGTGAGCAACACAGAAGGCGGGTGATTTCTGCATTTCCAACTGAGGTACTGGGTTCTTCTCACTGGGGCATTTCAGACAGTCGGTGCAGGACAGTGGGTGCAGCCCAACAAGCGAGAGCCGAAGCAGGGCGAGGCATTGCCTCACCCAGGAAGCACAAGGGGGAAGAGAATTCCTTTTCCCAGCCAGGGGAAACTGTGACACACAACACCTGGAAAATCGGGTCACTCCCACCCTAATGCTGAGCTTTACCAAGGGTCTTAGCAAATGGCACACCAGGAGATTATATCCTGCACCTGGCTCAGAAGGTCCCCCGCCCACAGAGCCTCCCTCATTGCTAGCACAGCAGTCTGAGATCTAACTGCAAGGTGACAGCGAGACTGGGGGAGGGGCGCCTGCCATTTCTGAGGCTTAAGTAGGTAAACA